AGGAATCTGACGGGAAAAGCGACTCGAGTCGGAAGAGCGGCGAGGGTTTGTAGCGAGTTTCGCATGTTTCTCGCCTCGACGGCGGAGCTGATTGTCTTCATCCCGGCGGGAGGGAAGCGGATTAAAGCGGTTAGTTAAAGAGTAGTTACCATATAGCCGGCACGACAAAGCGGGTAGATGAAACTTTCGAGGTGGCGAACGCGGCGCGAACGCGGGGGAGGGTAACGGGCGGAGAAAAGGAGGCATTTTCTAGACTCCCGGCTATACGGCGTTGAATGCGTGGTGGAATGCGTGGAGTGCGCTTGCTCTTATCCCCGTGTGCTAAGGTCTGTAACTGGCTTCCGAGCTACCGAGCTGCCGGTAGCCGACCCGTGCCGGGTATATCGCAGTCGGCTGCAATAGCAGAAACTGTCGGGCTAAGTAACTGCCGGTACTTACTGTAACTTGGCGCGCAATGAGACCGCCTACATAAATACACCTAATACACTGGCGTCCTCTTCCCCGGGTCGCGCCCTTATCCCACCTCGCGGTAAATTTTCCAGCTGGAAATGTAGCCTTTCGACGTGATACGAGGGTTATTTTCCCAGATATATACGATAACTACTTTCAGTTGTGTGCACAGTAATGCCGGGGCGCACTAATGTTATTGTAATTAATACCTCCAGACGTTTTTCCAGCGCATTCTCTTTTATGTAATTCAATGATCCTCGCGTTAATAATTATATATGTAATGGGAAGATCGTTGAATTAAATGTGATAAACTTGTTAGACTGATTAAAAATTTTTTATTCGTGTATAATATTCTTTTAAACGATTTTAAATTGCCGACGAGAAATCCTTATCTTTCGGTAATTTATTTGACATATTTTCGTAAATCAGACGTGTGTAGTATTTTATCTGCCAATTTGGAGGATAAGCGATATTTTCACGAATTTCGAAATTTATCAGTTGAAATTATCTTGAAGTTACTTCTTTATTATACCAGAGTCTTCAATTTCCGCTGAAACTTCCAATAATCGATGAATCTACTCCATAAATTTGGATATCTCCACGGCTTTCCGTCCAACTTTTACTTCATCGAATCCTCCTGAGCTACAAACAAGGAACTTCACGACGCGCCGCGTTATCTTGAACTGATTTTGGCCGGGATTTTCTCTCGTGGCACGTGTCTGGGATGCTCGCGTATGCCGGAGAGGCCCTCCGCCCCTGCGGTGAGGCAGGAGAGACCGTGACAAACAAATGCACCGCGTCAGCCCGGCGTGACACCCTTTCGTAGTTGGGGCGGGGGTGGCATGGGGAGGCATGCGAAAAGGGCGACGAGATCGGCGGAGGGCGGTTAAGTCGGCGACGGCGGCGGCAGAGAGAGCGCGAGAGAGTGAGAGAGAGAGAGAGAGGGAGGGGGAGGGGGAAGGACAGGCGGTGGTCGAGCGACAGAGGACGAGTGGGAGGATGAGGAGCAGGATGAAAAGTAGAGGCTCGTGGAAGCCGTGCTCAAGTAGACAAGGGACACGTCAGCCGCCATCCTTCTACTCAGCCTTTTATAGATTATTCACGTACAATGGCCGGGGGTGACAAGTAACGCGGTACCCCGGGGCCTCGATGGAGCGATGAGTCCGCGACGGATCCCTCCTTTATCCTGGGAATGACTCTCGAGTGACCCTCGACTTTTCTGATATACCGTCATAAGATTGGCGACTCGCTGTGATACGATTTCTTTCGTCCTTTATGCGGATAATTGCCGTGAATTAAGATTGAATCCACTCGGGCTTGAATATCCGAACTGAGATTGATCGAGGGCGCGGAATAAGGATTGTATTGTAGCATTGTCCAGCAATTTGTGTGTTTACTTTTCTTCAATTAATTCCGACAGCATCATCGTATTACTTTTAATAAAAGTATTTTTTTTTTTTTCACATCTCGATTCAGAACATCTGCGGGTTATTCGATATTAGTGATATCGTTCGATTTATTCATGCGGCTACGGCAGTATGCATTCTGAATTTGCGATAAATTTGTTGTTTTTCATAGAACTTTTATATAAAAATAAAATAGAAGTACAATACACATATCAAATTAAACGCGTAATTAAATAGTGCAATTTGGCTGTACAACACATGCTACCATTGTGATCGATATGTGCTCTTTCGGTGATCATTGAGTTGATGATTCGCGAATTCTAATTAAATTCCGTCGCAATGCTCGGCGGAAAAAGGATGAATTATTCGCGCGGTTTTCTGCGGTCGTGTCTATAATTTTGGTGTATATTGCGCGTATACCGTCATAAATGCAGTGTCGTAAAAGAGAGCATGAGACAAAGAGAAAGAGAGAGAGAGAGAGAGAAGAACGTCCGGAACGTCGTTTTGTTGTATGCAAATGCGAGTTGCCCTCGATGTTCTCTCTCGTGTTGTTTGGCGTTTAATGCTGATTGGATGACTGCCGATTCAGCGGCTGTTCGTTTGCTGCGATTGTCGCTTCGGTTGGTTCGTCGCTTCGTTCTGCGAAAATGTCCCAAAATTCGGCACGTATACTGCCATAGCTGCGTGAGCGAATCGCACAATCACTAATACCGAATAGCCTCATAGACGCTGCGAGTCGAGATATGTACGGTGTCTTTCATTTACCAATTCTTTGACTAATTGAGTAGTTTTTCTATCAAAAGTATTCACACATTTTGAGCGATGAAAATATTAACGAAGATTTTAACGAACTAATATCCAGTGATAGCAAACAACGCAATCAGCGATAATAAACACGCAACAAAGTATTCTTTTGTGTATTCACCACGTAACAATTGTAATTTGATGCTTAATTAATGAAATATTTAATTTTAAAAATATGTTGGGTTTCAACGGTTTTTAGTATTACGCTAATTTGCATAAATGCGTTAAAAAGATGTTTATTATTGAAAATTGGAAATTCACAACAACTTTTTTCTATATGCGAGAAAAATTTAACTTCGAAGAACTTAAAATAACATACAAATATATCGTGCAAATTCTGGAACATTTTGTATATATTTCGCCTAATGCACATTTAATGATTTCGTCGTGCGCGCTTGCAGAATCAATGCTGAATATTAAGAAGCTACAAATAGTATGGCGTTTAATAAAATATTTGGGAGGGAAAAAATCGTGTATATTTGGGCAAACATATCGTGTGTATGTTGACAGAACGATATTGCAATAACTGTGGGTGGCTGCTGGTACAATTCGTTGTTATAAAATGAACCCGGAATAAAACTAGCTTTTTTTCCAATGCCGTGGCAAACGTTTTCGCACGTCGCTGACGTGGAATAACAATCGCCGAGGTTTGCCATCCGATTTTACGCACGCAATGCGTGCATCGCCGCTCCATATTTCTTAGGAAGCAGCCTTTACGTCGTCAGTTTCATTCAAACCTGTATCGCGTGCCCGGAGAAATCGCTATAGGAGGGAATCGTCGCGACGCTTCCATCGCTTCACTCGCGATTCAATGCACGAGTATCGTCGAACATCGCGCGACGGCGAGGGGGAGGGGGGGGGGAGAGGGGGAAGGAGACGGCGGCGAGGAGGGTGCGAGGAGCCCGGAGGGGTCGGCTCCATCAAAAATTCAATCCAT